TCCCCTTCCAGCCTGCCGTCCCCATCCCCGGGCCGGCCGCGCTCGCCCCTCTGCTCCCCGGGCCCCTGAGGGAGGTGTCGGTCTCCCTGCAGCTCCTCAACCGATTCGGCTCTCAGGAAAGGTACCCCCGCGGATCCCCCGGGAGACCTGTTGATACTTCGCTCACCTTTCTGCGTTTGTTGTCGTGTCGTGTTTAAATGCTCGCAGCGTGCTCGGATCCTTCCGTGTGGTGCGAGTGAAGGACGTTCCTTCTTCCCAAGGAGTTGATTCCTTCGGATTGATGGGAGACCTAGGAGAGAAAATAATGTAATTTTCGTTTTTCTCTCATGTTTCAGTCTCACTGCAGTTGCTCTGATGGGTTTCCTGTTCTTGTGCTCAGCCTTCCCATCCAAAAGTCGTGATTCACGGAATTAAGAGCTGCTTTTTCTTTCTGCAGTTCCTGTATGCCCATTCTTTAACTACTCATCATCTTCATCAATCAGTCGTCTTAGTCATGTTCCCATTCTTTTTTTAAAATGTATTTCTATCATTTTAACAGGATGTTTTGGCTTTTTTTCTAGTTACAGTGAGAGGTTCCTGGCAGAAGTGTCTTGTTAGAGCATGATTGTGTTCTGTAATGAGCATAGTGAGAATTCTTGCTTTTGACTCTTTTCTTTCTAATGAAAAGGTGGAAGGGGAAGAAAGGCTCCTGTGGAAAGCCATGCTGCTGACTTGACCCTGTCTGTGGAAGATGGTGGCTGTGAGGGCATTCTTGTAGACCAGGGTTTGTGTCCTTGATGTCACCGCTCTCTTCATCGCCTCTGAGAGCAAGGGTCAGCGCAGTGCTGGAAATGCTTTTGGCCACTTGGTCCATCTCCTGCAGAGGCCATCCTGCATTAGTGTTAGCTTTGGAGCTGGGCTGGTTGTTTTGCACCACTTGGGTATTCTAGGAAAACATGGGATTACAATAGAAAAGGAAGCAAGAATGCTTGCTGCAGTGTGAATGAGTGAAGCTGACAGGAAACAATACCAAATGTTTCCTGTGCTGTGCTAACTAGACTGACCAAGTGGAAATATCTGCTCTTCTGAGAGCTCCCTGAGAGAAATGTGTAGAGTTTCAGCAAGGTAAAGATCTCTCTAATGCTGTTCTCCGTTCTTAACCTCTACCAAACTTGGATGTTTTGATGGGGCTTTGCTATGTTGAATATATCTATTTAAATTGACTATATCTATTTAGATTCTGCTTTTAAATGACATATCTTTCCTTTAGCAGTAGTTTTGCTGCTTTCAGTTTTACTGCTGTTCTTGCTTACAGGAGTGCTAGTAAGTTTAGGATTTCTTTGTGACTGGGTAAAGTCCATTGCATTTTTGAATTCCCAGTTTAGCTGAAGTCTACGTACTTAGCTCTGTTTTTATAATTTTCTTAAATTAAATTATTGGGAAAGGTGACAGTACTCATTTTTGTCATTGCAGAAATTTTTCCTGTTTGTTCTCTCTCAGTCTTTCAGATATCTACAGGGCTCAGCATTCCAGGAAAAAAACTGTCATCCTTACATTCTCACAGCTCAATGTTACTTATTTGTCAAAGTGTGACAGATAAATAACAGAATTTGTGTTTGTATGTAGTCTCATATGTCTTGTGCTTTAAATGAAATTCATGTCCCAGAAGGCATCCTGGCCACTGGTTAGGTTTTTGCTAACTTTTAAAATTCTTTTAAGTTGAACAAAGTGCCAGAGTTTACAGCCCTGTGCTATACTTCCTGATACGGTCAATTTAAAACCCTTCAGCTCCAACATAAAACTCCGAGTCCCATGTGCTGAGAAACAGGCTGGATGCCTTCCAAATACTTCTGAAAAACATCTTGGAAAGAAAATGAGCACTTTGCTTGGAATTCAGCTGTTCAAGGTGTTCATCTGCTGTGACTCACTGGAATGGTGCTTGAACTTGGCTGCAGACTGCAGGACCAACGTGTGCTTGTTCAGCGGGCAGAGTTTGTGTAACTGGGGAATGCAGCACAGCCCATCCCAGAGCTCTCCTCCTCCCTGCCCACCCTGAAGACTGAAATCATGGCAGAATCTGCTTAGCATGGCAATATAGGCTAAACAGCTTGGAAAATAATTTCCAAGGCTGTATAACTGTCAGAAGAGAACATCTCTTAAGAGTTGTTTGGCTTAGATATGAAGTGACAATTGGACAATGCACAGGATTTTCTGGGTAGAAGATGGACCTGTGTGAACCTTGATTTTATTTTCCTGCTCTCCTCTCTGAAGATGCCTTGCTGCAGGGCTGTGTATGGTAGTTTTGGAATTCCCTGTTCATTTTGCATTTCAAATTAATTATTTTTCAAAAGGGTGATTAGGACCTGGAGGTTCATTGTCTCTACAAGCACACTTGAATAAAATGTGGAAACACTTCCAACATTTCTCCTTCCTGTGATGCAGCCCTGAGAACAGGGCTGAGAAGACTCTTCTGGTGTGGTTTAGCAGTTGTGTGCCACTAGTGCTGTGCACGTGCATTGTGCTTCTAGAACAAACTAAACTACTGTGCTATATTGAGATTAATGTTCCTGTCCTAAACGGTGAGCAAGAAATCCTCTTTCGTCAGGCACAGTCATGGTTTAGACATCTGTTCTCATGGAAAACTGTTGCTGCATAGGTATGGCTGATTCCCTGCTACCTTTTTTTCCTTTTCCTGCTTTTAGGAGAGTGTGTGTGAGGATCCAGATGCCAGCATGGGTCATTTCAGGGCAGGAGGCACATTTTGGGCTGCAATCTGATAATTGCTACAGAACAGAGATTCTACTAGCCCGTTTCTTGCTTTCACTGGTAGTCTGCTCCACAAAGATAGTTATTTGAGCCAGTGTGTAGTGTAACTCTTACAAAGTGGCTGTGACATAGCCCCAGATCCCTCGTGTCTCGTCTTAGCCTTTGGCAGGATTGTTCCTGGCAACTTGCTCTTGTTTGAGCAGTCAGGTGATCCTGATTTTCCCACTCCCACCCCCACACCTTTGTTTTGCAAGTTGGCTGAGTTACAGCCCTGCAAAGCCAGGCTTTTGAACCTGCCACAACTTGGCTGGATTCATCTAAACGTCACTTGTGACTTGGTGAAGGAAGAGCTGCTTTTGGGTGTGAGAGAAATGGGAGACCTTGGGTTGCTCTGGCTTTAGGATGGCTTAAAAGATTGTAACCCTGACCTTCTATCTCCCTGTTTGTCCTGCTCTGTCTGTGGGGTGTGGAGCCACCTTCAGCCTGGGAGCCTTTCAAGGCAGTAGGGAGTAATCATTTCAGGAGGCTCTGAGGCTCAGTTATCTGAAATATGAAATACAACCACAGAGAAACAATAGTGTGTTTGTATTGCAATGATCAAATGAAGAGAATTCACTTTTAAATACATCCAAATACTTTCACACAAGCTTAAAAGCACCTGTTGACTTCTTAAGTGTGTTCTTGGGATCTACTGATAGGAGAAAACAGGCTCTCTGTAGAGATTTGTGTACAATATTCCCTGTAGTACTTGGGAGCTCTGGTGTGTTCTGTTCATGACGGCTGTGTGGGCTTCCCGTGAAGAGAACTTGCACAGTTTTCACACCCTGTGTTTGTCAAGTTTGTGTTGGAAGAAGTAGCATATGGTACATGTAACTCGGTGATGTTAGGATTTTTTATTTTTTTTTAGATCAAACTGGTGCTTGCCTTTCCCACTGGGAATAGCTCTTCAGGGCAGTATTGCTTTCCTGTGGAAGATTTCTTTTAGTTTTGGTGTGTCTCATGGGTTTTAGATGCAAATTCTATTTTTCTTTAGTTGCTGATGAGCATTAGAGAAATTCTAGATCACAGTGCCTGGAACTCCTAAATTCAGATCTCATTTGGGATCAGTAACAGCAAAACTACTGCAAAATGGCTCTTTGCTGCTGATGAAAAAGGGCTTTGGAACTGAAACAAAGACCCTAGATGGGAAGGAACTGCTGTCCTGATCCCAGCCCTGCCCACCTTGGAGCACAAAATCTGATGAGCATGCACAGCACCCTTGGAGTAGGTGGGGAGGAAAGGCTGAACAGGTCTTAAATGATTTTTCAAATCCCAGCCTTCTTTTACAGATGACAGACAACTTTTAATGTGATCTGAAGAAAGTTGGCCGAGCATTTTGTGTGAAACCCTCTTATCCCAGCCCTGGACAGCTCTTGTTTGTCAGCTACTGGTGACAGCAGTGCAAGTAAATGACACCTGCTTTGGTGGTGTGCAGGTTGTATCCCTGTGTGCATGTTTATTCCTCTGGAGTTGTGCCATCCTTCCAGTCTGCACAAATATTGGTTGTCACAAACCCAAACTTGGTGTTCATGAAAAAGTAAACAGTACCCAGGAGCAGGATTTGGCCAAGTGTGTGTGAGCAGAATCAGAAGTAGGTTGTGTTCATCTGAGGCTATAGAATACAAGTTGTCCATTTCATTTGCATTGCATTTGTTCTTGGGTGCTGCTTCACAGCTGGTGGCAGCGAAGAGGTGGCTGAAGGCCCCACAAAAAGCTGCACAAAAAGCAGTGGATCCTGTTCACCTTGGCCCTTAAGGGAATGCTGATGTCTCTTCAGGGAAGATCCTTTATGCTAAGATATTTAATCAACACCAGTCTCATCTTGAACACTGAGAAGTTTCTGGGCCTGTTGGGTTTTGCTTTGGCATCTTCGGGAGATGCTTTAATGGGATACTCTGACCAGCTGGGGTTGGATTTTGGTTTTATCTTTACTGAAGGTGTTGTTGTTTGGTGGTAGTTTGTAGTAATTCCTGCTGAGTTGTGCACCAGGCTAAAACTCAGTAATTTCTGAGGGGTTTGGATGGATGTGTCTGGTAACGAGTGAGAAACACTCTAAGGTTGATTCATGACTTCAGTGCAGAGTTTGGTGGGGTTTTTTTAAGCCTCCTTACTAATAGCTGAAACAAATACAACTCGGCTGGCATGTTCATCCTCCCCTTTCTTTTTAGGGCTATATAAAACCAAGCTGAACTTTGCCTTTTGACAGTAAGAGCTAATGGCCTTTTTTAATTTTGAAAGCATCCCCAGTAAATGAAGATGATTTTCTTGCCTTGCAGGCTGCTATCTGGCAAGCACTGAACCACTACGCGTACCGCGATGCCGTGTTCCTCGCAGAAAGGTTATATGCAGAAGGTGTGTACTTCAGAATTATAAAGCTGATACTTTTTTTCAATTTTAATTTGGGATATTTGAGCCTCTGCTCCTGCTTTGTTTTCCTGCTGTTCTGATAATGTTTAGCTTTCTGCTTGGGGAAAGCAGAGGAATGCCTTGCAATTAGGTTGGAAAATCAAATCATGTAACAGCAGCAGTGTTATTTTATGGTAAAATCTCCTCAAAATTAAACTCAGATTTGTGTGTTTAAATGCAGTGTTTACAGTGATCTGGTTTATGGTAACAAATAGGAGAATGTTGGGGTTTTTTAGTAACCCTCAAGCATTGCATGTCTTCCAAGGGCACTTGAGGATAGATGCAGCACACAAATTCTGCAAATTGGCTTGACATTGAAAGCTGTCTTTGCTAATAATGCTGCTCAGATATGTTGATTGGCTCAAAGAGAGTCTTGTGATGGTGAGAGAAAAGCACTGTGAAATTGAGACAGTGAGAATCAGAACATATGGAAGAGGTATCTCCTGCTGAATCTCTGCTAATTGTTACTTCATTGTAAAGCTGTCAGGGCTGGGGTATCTTGGGTAGTGAGCAAGCAGCTGTAACACAAATCTGTACTTCCTCTGGGTCCTTTAAACACTTTGTCGGTGTGTTCTAGCACCTTTTATTTCTTTAACCTTCTCTCCATGACCTCAGAGTAGCTTTTTGTTCTTCTGTACTTCTTTCTCCTTGTTACTTGTGGTCAGCTTTCCTTATCTATTTTGAAAGGTATTGTTCTCTAATCATTAACACAAAAAACACCTCAATCCTTATGCTAAAATACAAGCATCATACCTTTTCTCATGCTAAACAACCTGAGCTTATAGTTTGAATTGAAGTGTATAAGCTATTTCATGCTCTGTTTTGTAATGAAGTATTTTGCCTGCCATGCCCGCAATGCAGTTCTTAACAGTGGAAACACACACCTAAGTTTTGAGAAATAAAGGCTTCTTTTTCCTTGTGTCAGGGTTACAAATGGAATCTGAGGTGTTTGATCTGGTGCTGAAATGAGTAATGTTGTGTAGAATGTTATGGAACCTGGTAATCCAGGTGTTCATGAAGAAAATAGTATTTTAGGGATGACAGAGCTCCCCTGAACACAACACACTGTGAGGTGCAGGGAAATGGTAGATTGAAGGTAATTGCCAAGGATTTAGGAACAAAGAGAATCCACTTTTTGCAGCAGCCAGGAGAAAAAACCTGACTTGATAGAGGCACATCTTTACAGAATGATTCTCTGCAAGAGTACTTCAAACAGCCTTTTTTAGTGGCCAGCAGTGCTGAGAGAAAGCAGCGTGAATACTGACATTTGGTGCAAGCAATTAACTGCTAACAAAACATCTGGCTCCTGGTTAAAATAAGTGGTTACTCTGCAGAGTGGAAGCTGCAGAACTTGAATGCAGTGGCTCCATGTTTGCAGGAGTGATTTCACCCAGAGAAGAACTTCTTTTAAGTCTACCTGCAGTTCCTGTCCTTGATGGGACATCTGTGGCTTGGTCATTTCCCAAAGCTCTCAAAGTCTACTAAAGTACTGGATAAAAATTGATTTAACTTGAATTTTCAAAAGGTCTTCTGGTGTTTTTAGGATAAGGCTAATAAAATGTCCTCTGTTTGGGTCTTCTGTTTCCATTGTCACTGTCCAGGTGATGACAAAGACTTAAAATAGTCAGTTTTCAGTGAAGCAGAGGATTTGGGCAGATTCCCAAATAGGTTTTTATATAGTGCTCATATTGATTTTTCTAAAAATTTCCCTATGGGTGGGTGAACAGACATCAGAATTGTTTGTTTAATGCTGAATTCCATTTGCAGGATAATGTCTTCTGAAAATTAAAAGGTAATGTGGGTTATTAATTGTTTGCAGTTTGAAGTTGCTCATGTTCATACACAGCTTTTGATTTAAAATATCATTGTGTGAGGGTGATACGAGTGTAACATTTGGAGAAGTACAGAGAGTGAGTTAAGTCACCAGGGATGTACAAAATCTGTGAGTTTACAGAAAGGATTAAAGTTACTTCAGGGGTCAATTCTGTCCTTCATGGTGTAATCACAAGTGGGTCTGACCTCAGTCTCAAGCCTGGATGCCAAGTCAAGGTCTTGGAGTAGAACGTCCTCTCAGCGTGGTACGTAATTCATTGCAGTGGAAGAAAATGTGGAAGCCAACATTGTGCCAGTGTTTATGCACTCCTTAAAGTAGTGCAGAGTGTTGGTGGCAGGTGTGGTGACACTGAGCCAAGTCAGTCTTGGTGTGGCCGACAGGTTGTTAAAGTAGCTCTGGCCTGGCTGCTTTGCTCGGCTTGCTGCTGTTCTAAGTGCAAACTGGCTCATCACTTACTCAGGTTGGGTAGCCTGAAGGATCAGAGTTCCTTTACACCTGTAGATGTTAAGAGTTGAGCTGGCTAGCCAAGGGAATGGTATTGGAACTCTGGTAATCACCAACAGATGAAGAAGGCTTCATTCAGGAATTAATTTCTAGTACCATACCCATTTTTTTTCCACCTTGTCCATAGTTGGCTTTTACTCCCTGCCCCAAAATTATTTGTACTAAAATGATTAACATCTAACTGATGATTTGGTTTTCCAGTACACTCAGAAGAAGCACTGTTTTTACTGGCAACGTGTTACTACCGCTCAGGAAAGGCCTACAAAGCTTACAGGCTCCTAAAGGGACACAGCTGTACCACCCCACAGTGTAAATACCTGCTTGCAAAATGTTGTGTGGACCTCAGCAAGTAAGTGAATCCTTCGTGTTCTGTCCAGGGTTACAAATGGATTTATTTTTTAGCTTGGGTTTCTCCTTGGGACATGTCATCTTGTATAAACTAGAAATTCATTGGTCTCTCAGCACAAAAGATTATAAGTTCAATTTATTTTGAACTTTGTTTTCAGATATGATCTAATGAGCATTAACCCTGTTGCAAAAACCTCTAAAAGCTGTTGAGTAACTTAGACAGGAATTGCCAAGCTGTGTAGAGAGAATGTGAGCTCATTTATACAGCTCTGCTTGTTATTTTCTTGTGGGGATGGTCTGTGCTGATAGAAGCATACACCTACAAGTAAAATTTCAAGTGGTGTCAAGAAAAGGTGGTTTGTTTGTTCAGACCAGGTGTTTGGACTCTGATGCCTGAAAAATGCCTCCCACCCCAGCAGTTGTATAAAGTAATTTTGAAGCCTGACAGCCAGTGGCTCATTCTGTGTGAGTAGTGCTGCTCCTGCAGGTGGAGAAGGTGCAAACTGAGCCTTTGTTCTCCTTTTGAGCCCTTCTGGCAAGGAGGAAAGGCTCCAAAATCTCTGCCATGTCCTGATACTGGCTCTTAACTCGCCTTACAGATTGTATTTCTTTGGGAAACAAAGCCAAATTAAGCACTGCTTTAGCTTAGGTGAAGCACCTTCCAAGATCAAGTATCTTGAAGATTATCTTGTCCTTTATCCTAGGATTGATCACTTTTGGAAAAGTCATGCCACTTTGTGCCTCTGGGTTTGCTTTGTTTCTCTTCCCTCCCAGTACAGCTGTTGGACTGCAGAGTCCTGAAACCTCCCTGTGGTAGAGCAATCCAATGGTTATTTAACCTTCATTTGCAGGAACTGGTTTTTGGTTTAAAACCTGTGAACACTGACAGTGGATTTCTGTTTTTGTTTGCAGCAGGGTGAAAACACTGGACTTCCAGTACTGTGAGCCTTGTAACCCCTTTAAACCTCTTGTTTTTTAAAAAGGCTTGCAGAAGGAGAGCAGATCTTGTCTGGTGGAGTGTTGAATAAACAGAAAAGCCATGATGACATTGTTATGGAGTTTGGTGACTCTGCATGCTTTACACTCTCCTTACTGGGACATGTCTACTGGTAAGGTTGCTTTTTCATTTTGCCCAGTAAAGTTGGAAGGTTTTTACTTGACCAAGCCCAGGTTTAGCCGAACATATCCTTGGTCATGACAGGAGACACTTCTCTCTGGGTTACACCGTTATTCAGGCGGATAGTTGTGGAATCAGTCTGATTTGGAAATGCGAGATTGATTTAGTTTTCACCCAAAGATTGAAAACACAAATTCCTTTTTCCCAGGTGGATAAGAATGCAATCCAAGAGTCTGAATTTTTTATATACCTTTGGATTTGCTCTGTATTCTTCCCTGAGAAAAACTCTAAGCTTGTCTCTCAGTGTTACGATTTAGATTTTTACTATCTGTGTTGTATGTGTGTAGCTCTAACCTTCAAATCAATGTTCTGAGGGTGCCAGGCAGAATAACTTGACAATTTAAGTGCTTTGATTTTGCCAAGATGCAAGAAAGGTTTCAGTAAATGTGAATGATTGATTGAATGGGAGTAGTTGGGCTCTTGGATTCTTCTCTATCTCTTCTCAATTATTTTCAAAATTATTTCTTTGTAACCAAATACTTAAGTGTTCAGTTTAGCCCTAATTTCTTTGCAAAAATATTATCCATCGATACTTAAGATGGCTGGAAGGCTGGCAATCAGGTTACTGTTGGCAAAAAAGAAGCAAGCTGTTGCAAAGAACTTCATCTTCCTAGAAATGAAAAATCTCAAGCTATTGTAGTGCTTATGTAACTTTTTTTGACAACTGTGTCTAAATATGTCAAGTAACTTCAAAAGAACGAAGTATTTCTCAGGCTTGAAAAATGAGGAATGTTTCTATGCCTCTCAACATGTTTTTGTTTTTCAACTCCTCTTCTGGAAAAGTCTCTTGAACAAAAGTGCTGTTCTGAAGTTTCCCTGTGAACTGTTTCTTTTTGCAGCAAGACAGACCGGCTTGCCAAAGGATCAGAATGTTACCAAAAGAGCCTTAGTTTAAATCCTTTCCTCTGGTCCCCTTTTGAATCACTATGTGAAATAGGTGAGTCTGCACAACTGTTTTACTCATGTAATTCATTGGAGAGATTTTTGTGAACAACAATTAATTTAAAATACTTTGGCATTGTTTAAAATTTCTCTTATTTTCTTCTGTCCTTATTACTTATACATTTTTAGATCTAACAATCCAAATGTGCTTTCCAGCCTACATTTAGTAGACACTTAGAAACTGTTTCTGAGAATAGCTTAAACAAGCAATAAATGAAAATTATTAAGAATATTGATTGTCCAGGGTTTTGTAGGTGAAGAATGGAAGAACACTTCTGTTTTAGTCCAAAGGGCTCAGAGTGACCTGGTCTAGTGAAGGGTGTCCCTGCTTATTGCAGAGGGCTGGAATGAGATGTTTGTTAAGGTCCCTTCCAACACAATCCAAATGTTCTATGATTCTAGGAAATGTCTTAAACACTTCCCAAATCCTCTGTCCCTTGTTCTTGATTCAGACTGAATATTCAGTGTCTAGACTCAGCAATAACTATTTAATCTCCTTCCACTGTTACAGGTGAAAAGCCAGACCCTGACCAAACATTTAAATTAACATCCTTACAGAACTTCAGCAGCTGTCTGCCCAACACTTGCACAACGTTGGTGTCTAATCATAACATATCCCACAGACAGCCTGAGAGTGTCCTCATGGAGACACCCCAGGACACAATTGTGAGTTTTGCTCGAATCATTGTAAAATCGTTTGCTAAAATTGGTTCTTTTTTCCAGCTTAACTGAAAAGTGTTAATTGAACTATACCCTAAGTACCTAAGAGCTGCCTTTTATTCTTCAGGAGCTGAACAGAATCAACCTAGAATCCTCCAATTCAAAGTATTCCTCCTTGAATTCGGATTCTTCCATGTCTTACATTGACTCGGCCGTGATTTCCTCGGATTCTGTCCCTCTGGGGTCAGGAACTGCCATATTGTCCAAACAGGCTCAAAATAAACCAAAAACTGGACGGAGTTTGCTGGGGGGACCTGCAACTTTGAGCCCACTAACTCCAAGGTAAGTCCTTGGGATGGCCAAGCTCTGCCCAGGGCTGAGCTGCTGCGGGTGTTTGGAGCAGGAGGGCTGCACAGCACACTGACACACGTGGTGGTGGAGTTTGTGAACAGTGCTCTACAGGGAAACCCAGACAACTTCAGCAGCTGCTCTTGCTTCTACTGTTGATCTCTTCTGGTTTTTAAACAAACAGTTGGTTATTTGGAGGGGAATTGTTGATTGACAATATTGCTCATTGTCATGTTCTCACTTGAAAAAAATCTCTGAAGGAATATACAACTGCTCTGGAATAAATTTCATTATGAAAGGCTGCTGCAAAGAGCTTTTCTTGAAGTACAACTCCTGATGATCCTGTGGGTCCCTTCCAGCTCAGGCTATTCCATGACCTGGCTCTCTGTTTTAACCCCTGCATCAGACCAGCTCTCCAGGCCTCACATTCAGACACTGACCCTTCCTCTCTGGTTTGTTCTCAGCTTTGGAATTTTGCCACTAGAAACCCCGAGCCCTGGAGATGGATCCTATTTACAGAACTACACCAACTCCTCCTCTGTAATTGATGTGCCATCCACTGGAGCACCTTCAAAGAAGGTACCTTGTGTTCTGGAGCTCAGCTGCTCTTCTGAGAGCCTGACATTGCACAGTGCACTTTAAAGAAGAATCCATAATACAGAGAAATAAAACGTGAGCTAAGTTTTCCCCCCCAGATGCCCAGGCTGTAGTTGCTGGACTAACCTAGGGAAGATCTCTGTGTTCTGTCCACCTCCCATCACAGAGAGTTGTGCAAGCACTGAAGCTTCCAAACAACAGCAGATCCAAACATTTCAGTTTGCAGGGTAGAGTGTGAAGACTTCTTGTTTTATTTATTTAATGTATTTTCTGAAGCCCCGAGAGAGCTGAAGCTACTGATCTCTCGCCAGTAGTTTTTGAATTGTAGTTTACAGAGCAGAGTAATAAAAATCCTGCTGCTGGTTTGTGAAGGACTGAGAGAATGGTGCTGTTTCACTCAGCAAAGGCTTGGGTAGGGGAAACTAAAAATTGTCCGTTTTCCTCAGGAAGAAACTGCTGTAGTTACCATAGTGATAAATGAGAGGTGGAATGTTGGTGACAGTTGAAGAACTATTTGTTCCTTTCTAAAAACAAAAACCTGAGGATTTTTCCCTGTATTTTTAGTAAATCTACAAGTTGCATGAGGGATGTTGGTGTTTTGTAGGGGGCAGTATTTTGAAGTAGTGTTGGATCCCTCAAAAGGTAGAACTTGAGCTGCTGTGTTTGCTCTGGACAAATCTTGATGCTCCCCTTGCAAATTCTGAAAGGGAAATGTGGGAACTGTACTAAAGTGGTCAGTTAGGAATGTGCTTTGCTTGGCTGATCCAATTCCCATCCTGTACTTGCTCAGGACCCTTTGAAAACAATGGCTCGTGGTGGACTCTGCACATATAGGAAGGTAAATTTCCATGAATCTGAAAATGGAAATGAAGTTAGCAAGGTGCAGCTCTTCTGAGAGCTGAAAAGCTTTGGGGAATCAAGTGGGATTTGCTGCTTTTTGTTGCTTTGCTGAGTGTGACACAACAGCACTGAGGTGTAAATTTCACTACTCCACACTTAGGCCCTGCTGAGATGGAGCTCAAAACACAAATATTTAATACATTTTAATAAACAAATTCTGGTTCATGCTTTGTCCAGTGCAAATAGTGACTGTGCCAGTTCCACTTTGCTCTTCCAGTTCTGTGTCAGACAAGGTTTGGTGGAGCTGTGGCTGAACAGAGGCAGTTTCCTAGGAAACACTTACATAAGTGAATGGAGCACTAGGAGGAATCCAAAGGCTTCCTGTCTGAGTGGGCAAGTTTCCTTGCTGGCCACCTGAACCATCCTATGGTAACAGAATCTGGGAAAGAAAGGGAAGGATGGAGCTTTAGAGGCTGGATAATGCACAAAATGGCATTGCTTGTGCTGGTGTTGATCCACTTGTCCCTTTCCAGTGTCTCTTCCAAACTGCCATCCCTGAACTGAACGTTGGTGTCTCTGGAGTGGGCAGGAAGATAATGTTTTGAAGCTTTTTTTAAAAAAATAGGAAGAGGAGGATCGGTTCTGAAAACAGGCTGCGGTGCTGTGCAGCTTGGGAATGGTTTCTGAAAGGGATTGTAATAGGATAATTTAAAAATATTTTCTTTCTATACATATATATATTTACAACTTTATGCAGGAAAAAGCCTTTAAATACAATGTCTTTTAATTCCCTTTTGTTCTTGCACAAGCACTTTAACATATATCTCTTCTTGCCACTAGATGGAGATTCCATATCTTCAAATAATGTCCATAAGCTTTGTAGACTTGGTGTTATTAACAGGAAGAAGGAGAAACACTTTTGATGGTTTCCCCTTGACATGGGGGAACCTTCACCTTTATTAAAACAGTTCTGTTTCTCTTTGTGCAGTGTTTGGTGGGTGGAGTGGGCTGGGTTTGGTGCAGCAGAGATGGAAACTCCTGAGTGACTTAATAACAAACCTGTAGAAACTCTGTGTTGTGCAGACTGTCAGCAGGATCAGCCAGGCTGGAACAAAATCTGTCTTCTCCCAGAGTGGGAATAGCCGGGAAGTCACTCCAATTCTTGTTGCACAAACACAGAGCTCTGGTCCACAGACAAGGTAAAAAAATTATAGTTCTGGAGCATTTTTGTTTAAAACAAAGCTAAAGCTATTACTACTAAAAGTGGAGCAGAGAAGCCTGCTTTCCAGTGTGTAATTTTTAAATTTCTCTTTTCAGTACAACACCTCAGGTATTGAGCCCAACCATTGCTGCTCCACCCAACGCGCTGCCTCGACGAAGCTCTCGCCTGTTCACCAGTGATAGTTCTACAACCAAGGTACAAACCTCCCAGTGCTGCAAGTCCCTGCCTTCTGCCACTGTGCCAATTGCTATTTTCCACATATTCATAGCAATTTAAGAGCAGATCCTGCAGTGAGCAGGGTGTGGCTGGGCATGGTTGCCACACATCATTTTACACAATTCACTCTCAAGTTTAGATTTCTGAATTCAAAATACTCTTTTTATATGTAACTCTCACTTTTCTTATTCACAGGAAAATAGCAAAAAATTAAAAATGAAGTTTCCACCTAAGATTCCAAACAGAAAAACAAAAAGTAAAACAAATAAGGGAGGAATAACTCAACCAAACTTAAATGACAGTTTGGAAATTACCAAACTGGACTCTTCCATCATTTCAGAAGGGAAAATTTCCGCTGTTGCACCACAAATCCAAGCTTTCACGCTACAGAAGGCAGCAGCAGGTCTGTTTGAGCACTGTTGGACTGTAATAGAGTAAAATCTGATCTATCTGGGTTTTAATGTTGCTTCAGTATTTCCTTCTTTCCCATTTCATTTAGCCTGCAGCTCTCACCTCTGTATAACAGATAAAAACTGATTTAATTCAGCATCTTCTTGTTAACTTAGAAACATGTGAACATTGAGAGTGGTAATTATCAGCAGATACATCTTGCAAGCTCTGGTCCTTATTAATGATTAAAGTATTTTCAAAGTATTGATATAGCAAGTATTATAAATTATTATGCAATGTATTAATTATGATAATAGAACAAGTAATGTTATTATAAGTGTTATGTTGTTATAAAGTATAACTTGAAAATTTTAAAGTATGTAATTTATGACAGTAGACAGTATTATTTTCCTTGGAAACTGATTCAAAGGAGTTACTCATAACCCAGTCATCTCCCCTCAAACAGGAGCTTTATGTAGTCTGTTCTCCCTTGATATTTCCCATTTGTTTAAAAACAAGTATTTATTCAGACAAAATGCTGAATTCCCCTCTTTTGGCTCAGTAATGTTTCCAGGCAGCAAGAGGACGTATCCATGGCTACCAGGCTTGTGGAAATGGCTCAGACCTAGAGAAATGTTTGAAGAGCTGCTGGGAATGCAGAACTCCACTTGTCCTGAGCCCCAGAGTTTAAGGACTCATTATTTTTTGGCTTCCCTTACAGAGGCCGATACTCAGAATATCATGCTCATGTTAATTAAGTGTATAATGTTAAGAGTGTATAAACTTTGTTTGGAAACTCCTGAAAGGTTTCCATAGGTGAGTTCAGGAGCAGTGCACAAGGGAGAGCTTTTGGGATTAGCATTTCCAAGTAAATAAATCTCAGCTGTCTTTTTTCCCTTTTGTTCCCCACTTTTATTTATTGTGTTTTTCTCCTAGAAGGTTTGATGAGCCTTCTCCGGGACATGGGGAAAGGTTATTTAGCCCTGTGCTCGTACAACTGCAAAGAAGCCATCAATATTTTGAGCCATTTGCCATCCCACCACTACAACACAGGCTGGGTGCTGTGCCAAATTGGGAGAGCTTACTTTGAGCTGGCAGAATACATGCAGGTAGGACCTGGGGCTGGGCCTTCCTCTCTCTTCTCTCTTTGCTTTGGCAGTTTTACACAAAACCTGCAGATGTCTTGAAAAATCTATGGGAAGTTTGCAGTTGGGGTAAATGGGTAAATATAAAAGTTACACCTGGCATGGATTTAGATCTTGAATCTGGTTCATTAGAGCTTTTTAACTGAGCTTTTCTCTAATTTTTTTCTTCATGTTATTTCCTCTTGTATCCGACTGTCAGGGTCTCCTCCTTGTGTGTCCTGTTTCTGCCTCCTGCTGTGCTGATGGAATTGTTTGCACTGCACGGTTTTAGAATAGATCACTCAATAGTTTGAGCTCTAAACCAAAAAACTTCTCTTCATTGGAGTTAATTCTGGTCACATCAGTGACCCAGTTTCCCTTCCAGCCTCACAAATGAAGCGTTGGCACAGCTGAGGTCCTGCCAAACTGCTCCAGAATCAGGAGCGAGCAGTTAAGGGTAATCCCACAGTTTGCCTCTCCTTGGCACTGCTGTCCTGACAGCTGATGTGCCTGTTTGCTAAGTTTTTAAAATACTCCTTGGCAGAATGTGTGCAGGAGACAAAGGAGTTTTGAGCTGTGCACAAGATTGTTTTGAGATGGAACGTGCTGGGTGCTTTCACAGATTATTTAGAAAGGTGAGGGTACAGATTTTAATCACAGAATTCCAGGATGGTTTGGGTTGAAAGAGACCTTAAAGATCACCCATTCCCACCCCAGCCATGGCAGGGACACCTCCCACTGTCCCAGGCTGCTCCAAGCCCTGTCCAGCCTGGCCTGGGGCACTGCCAGGGATCCAGGGGCAGCCCCAGCTGCTCTGGGCACCTGTGCCAGGGCCTGCCCACCCTGCCAGGAACAATTCCTGCCCAATATCCCATCCAGCCCTGCCCTCTTGGCAGTGTAAAACCATTGCCCCTTATCCTGGCACTCTTTGTTGGGATGGTTCACAATCATAAGTGGCCTATGAAAGTTTGTTGCACTCTTTCTGATTTTGTGGAGGATGTTTTTTGCCTTGCTCAAGCATGGATAGAAACAGGAATGCAGCTGAGTCAGCAGGAGGGAGAGCTGGCTGCATTCCTGCTGGCATAAGTATCCTGGGATACAGTCACTTCCTTCCCTTGAAAGGAAAGTTCCAGGACTTGCAGCTCTGTGTAGAGCACTTAAAAAGCAAAGAGGATGCTCAGGCTGGACGTGAAGCCTTGGACCTTGGCCTCTGTGCTCTGCCTTAGTGGGTGGAATTTTATTTTAAGTTTCATTTCTGTTCTCAGGCTGAAAGAATATTTTCAGAAGTGAGGAGGATTGAAAACTACAGAGTAGAAGGCATGGAAATCTATTCAACCACACTCTGGCATCTGCAGAAAGATGTTGCCCTTTCAGTTCTTTCTAAGGATTTGACAGACATGGATAAAAACTCACCAGAGGTATAAAATGCTGTGGGCTTGAATGAGAAGAGGGGAGCTGTACATGGTAAAATCAATGATTCAGAACAGAGCTTTGAGCTCTAATCCAGTGTACTCTCCAGTGGGAATACACCTGAATATGGCAAAACTGGAGAGGGAGGTGGCAGGGTTGTCTGTTGAACTGCTGATGCCTGAAATGGCTCCTTAAACTCTGAATATCGACTTAATGTGGAACAAGTTGAAACCTTTTATCTGTTAATGGTTATTTAAATTTGCCTTTGCATGATTCAGACCGGAAGATCATAGGTTAGTCAGTCACTTCTGCTGCTGCCAGTGTGCAGGGATAAGGAATATCTTTTTCCTGTACCTTTTAATTGCTGTAGTTAATTCACTGGCACTTAAAATATTTGTTCTAGAATTTATTTGCAGACATGATGTTGCACATTTTAGTACCAAAGTCCATTAATCTGCAGGGTGTGTGCCAAAGCCCAGAAATCTTTCAATGAATGCCACAGTAAAAATAAAAGATGTGAATTGATAAATGTGCTCTTAAGAATTGAGAATACTATAGAGGATATTGGAAATCTTTTTGGTGGAGGAGGAAATCCAATTCATATTGTCCTGTTAGTTTGTCTAAGAGTGGAAAACTCAAACCCAGTGAAGCAGTTGGTGTTTGTAGTAAGATTAGTCAGGATAAAGGGAAATGCAGATTCTAATCCAAGGAGTAGAAAATAGTTATGTGCTTTGACAGTGATGCTAAAAATTTGGGGAAGTGAGGAACCCTGGGCTGTGGTATTTACAGTCGTGGTGGGTGCTGAGCAGCAGGGAAAGAGGAGGTTGTTGCTAAAATTCTTCCTCTATAGATTTCCAGATTTGTCAGTTAGAGGGAGCTGAAGAAATAAAGTACCATCCCCACCTTTGTCATTCTTAAATATCAAAGATGTTTTATTTCTGGCCTTTTCAACAGCTTCAAAAGCTTTAGTCATAAGTCATGAGAGGATCTAATTGGTGCAGACTTGTTGGGTGTGCATGGATTCTCCATTTCTATATTTCAGCTTGCTTATTTGTTTATTTATTTTGGAAGGTGTATTTAGCCCTGCTTGCTTCACAGGAATGAGCCCCAATTAACTGTTGATTCATTCCTGTTTTTACTTTTTAATCTAGGAGTAAGTTATTTAAAGTTATCTAAAGCAATACAGATAAATGTGTTCAGATCAAACTTAGTCAAACTGAGAGTTGTAAAAAGGGGTTCTGCTCCTGCCCTGCTGTTGTTCCAGGCCTGGTGTGCTGCAGGAAACTGCTTCAGCTTGCAAAGGGAGCACGACATTGCCATCAAGTTCTTCCAGAGGGCCATCCAGGTGGATCCAAACTATGCCTATGCCTACACCCTGCTGGGCCACGAGTTTGTGTTGACAGAAGAACTGGACAAAGCTTTGGCCTGTTTTAGAAACGCCATCAGAGTCAATTCCCGGCACTACAATGCCTGGTAAGTTTGGCTCTGTCCCCTGCTGCTCCATGTGGTGCAAAATTCCTTCTGGAAGAACATCTCCTGGATGCTGCCACTGCTATAATTTCATGGAGTCACAGTTTGGGTTGGAAGGGACCTTACAGCCCATCCAGCCCTACCCCTCTTCCATCCTAGAAGAGAGGAAAGCCATTCCTGCAGAAGATGGGGTGGCTACCTTCACAAGGAAGGCAAAAAAATGGAATATTTTTTTATTTTCATGGATTGTTTAGGCTGTATTAACCCAGCTATTTTGTTCTGCTGGGCAGCATTCTTTGTGCATTATGTTTCCTTAGTTGCAGCTGGAGAGATGAGATCTCAGCTTCTTCATAGCTAGTTTCTTACAGAAGAAGAAGTTTCTTTCTTAAGAAACACACCTAGTTTCTTACAGCTTTTTAATATATAAAGCAGTAGAAGTTAGATCTGTGAGTGAGTCACTTAGTGTTAATAACTTGTGTGCTTTTTATTTAGCAGTTACTTAGCCAGTCTTCCTGAGTATCATACATCAGTCCTTCAGCTACCCAATGGATAAAGAAAAGAAAGAACTTTCAGACAGATTCTTCCCCCAAGAAATCCCTTCCCACCCTAGATGGGGTTGGCAAAGCTTCAAACCATTCCTCCCATGTCATGCTCACTGACAGAAACTAGTTTGGTTAAAATCCAGTGCTACTTAGCAGAATTGTTTCTCTGCTGCAGGTACGGGTTGGGAATGATTTATTACAAACAGGAGAAATTCAGTCTGGCAGAAATGCATTTCCAGAAAGCACTTGATATCAACCCTCAGAGCTCAGTCCTGCTGTGTCACATCGGAGTAGTGAGTACATGCACTTCACTTGGGTGGGGAGAAGGGGCTGGTGTGGGGAGGAGGTGAGGAGGATTCCTCTGCCTGTGAGGAAGCTTGTTCAGACTTGGTCTGGAATTGCCAAATCCTTTTCTAAAGGAGCAGATTGTAAGTAAATGCAGTCTAAAGAGTTTGTCCTTGCCCAGCAGATGAGCTTTTATTTTTCCCCTTTTGGAATTGTTCTCTCTTTGTCTGCCAGGTCCAACATGCACTGAAAAAATCTGAGAAGGCTTTGGACACTTTGAACAAAGCAATCAACATTGACCCCAAGAACCCACTATGCAAATTCCATAGAGCCTCGGTGTTATTTGCAAATGAGAAGTACAAGGTCAGTCTTGGTGCTTGTGGCAGCCTTGACATTCCTGTAGCTGGGAGTGGGGATGCCTCGGGAGCTGAATGTTTTCAGGTCACCCTGGGAAGCACCAGGGCTTGCAGCAAGAGCCTGGGACATGGGCAGCATTTGCTTTGGCAAGTGCCACCCTCACCAGGGTGGTGTGTTAAATGTTTTGATTGTAATAAAATCTGGGGCCAAAAGGTGTTGCTTTTAAAATTATTATTTTAGTCTGACCCACTATCATGAGTTTATATTAAATTACTAAAAAAACTCAGCCAAGTGCCACATATCCAATTACAACAATGAGAGCCAGCTGTTTCCAAGGTTGTATTGTGGAGTGAAAAGTCAGAAGTGAAGCAGTTTTGGGCTGATCCCTTTCTGATCTGACCCCTGTTTAGAATAAGAGAAGATCTTCCCACAGTGTTTATCCAGAGACTTTTCCTCTGGCCAATGTTTTTTGGCTCCAGAGGACAAGCCAAGGCTGTTTTGAAACTTGCCTCAGAAATGTGTGTGTGCACACTGAGAGGGAAAATTTTACTTAAAAGTTTTCTTTATTTCAAACTGCAGAATAAATATTTTTCAGTTGAACTTCTTAATGATGCCAGGTGACTGTCACTGCAGAGTAAACAGCTCCAGCATTGAGAACTAGTTTAAAAATAAAGTAGAAGTTTCACTAAAAGTGTTTGGTTTCAAATGCCTAATATAAGCACTCTTTCCAACCTTTCAGTCGGCTTTACAAGAACTTGAAGAACTGAAACAGATTGTTCCCAAAGAGTCTCTTGTTTACTTTTTAATAGGAAAGGTAGGTAAAACTTCACTGTGATCATAAGTTCTGTGGCTTCCTTGGCTGCTTAATGAGAAAATTTGATGGCTGTCACCAAGACACTTCCACTTGGAGCAGTATTCTGAAAATTCCCAAAGCTTTAAATAAGGCTTAGTACTCACAGCTGTATTATGTGCCAGCTTTTAAATGGAAAGGACAGTTAAAGAGCTGGAGATGATGGTCCATCCCTCAGCAGAGCTGGTTATTTGCACATAAAACTGTTAAAATACTGAATCGCATTCTCAAGCATTGTGTCAGAAATACTGAATAAGCAGCTACATTCCAGCCTTTCTTGTGTGAAATACCAGAGAAGTGATCTGATGACAGAAATCCTTCCCACCACCTCCTCTGCTCATAAGCTTTAAATAACTTCTGCAACTTTCTGCTGGGGGTGTCTGGTCACTTGGAAGCATCAAGACACTTCCCTCTACCACAGTGCAGGAGAGCTCTCTATCAGCGAGATTTCTTTATTTTGTTTAAACTGGAGAGAGAAAAGGATTTGTGCTGAAATGTGTTATTTGTCCAGGAGTAGCTGGACCTCTGAACTGACATGAGAGTGGCCAGGTCTTGACAAACTGAAGTATTTTCACTGTTCAGATGCTCAACACAGATCAGTAATTTCCTCATCTGCTCTTAATGATAAAGAATCTCTTAGCTGCTGGTTTAATTTTTTATTTTAAAATAGAAACATTTGCTCTTTCTACACAAATTTATTTCCCTTGGGGCTCACATAATAATTTTTTTTTAATCCCCCCTCTGCTGCTTTCGCTAAAGCATCACTGAACGGTGGCTTGGAACATTCCTTGCCCAAACCTTCAAGTAGCAGCTTCATGTAAATACAGCCTTTTCTGCTTTTTTAGGTTTATAAAAAGCTGGGTCAGACACATCTGGCCCTAATGAATTTCTCCTGGGCAATGGACCTGGATCCCAAAGGAGCCAACAACCAGATCAAGGAGGCCATTGACAAGCGTTACCTGCCTGACGACGAGGAGCCCATCACGCGCGAGGAGCAGATCAGTGAATGTTACCCCTACGAGTCAGGTCTGTGCTCCGGGCAGCTCACACTGAGCTCACTCTCAGGTGTGGCAGCAGTGCTGGCTTTAACAAGTGAAACATTTCTGACCAGTGAGTAAGAACTCTGGAGGCTCTTCACTCAGAAATCATTCATTTTCCCTACAGAGAGCATGGCATAAAGGGTTGTGAAATTCCTTTGGATTCCTTTAGTAGGACAGAGAGCGTGATAACTCTAAATTTATGCAAATCATGGGTGGCTTTAAGAGTATCCCAGGAGAGCAAGACATTCCCAGGGCTGCAAGTATTCCATCATAAATCATAATTTCAGAGCAAATGAATGGCAACTGAAGTTGCCTGTAGATGCTTTCTCAGAAGTTAAACTGGATGTTGGATTGAAGTACTTGGTGTGCTGAACATAAAAGGTGGCTTTTGATGAAGGTCATGGAAGCAGTTTGATTTGGATCAAGAGAAAATAAAACACTATGGGGAGTAAAGTACAGAAAGGAACAGCTCTGGTTTTTCTTCTCTCAGCTTTTGATTATGATCTTAAATTCCATAAAACATGCATAGTCATAAATATTGACCCATCTGTAGGCTGAAATGGAGATAGAAAATAAATGCTAATAAGCAATTTAATTCTCTTCCTGCAAAGAAGGAAATAGAGCAGGATTTGGATTCTTATTAGGCAAATGCTGTGTTCTGTAATTCTAGATTCTCAACTGAAAAATAGGGAAATGGTGACAACTGTATATCACTTTGGGTTTTATTGGTCCTGTGTGCTTTTTAATATGGGAACTGTAGTCTGCACTGCACTTCTGGAGGTATCTAGAGTTTTTCTCTCCCTGCTGTTGTAAGTGGGGTAATTTCAAGCCCCAGCTCCCTGGGCTGAGCCTGTTCTGACCAGGAGATGGAGACAGAGACTGGAACTGCTGAGCAACACTTGAGCAGTACAGAAAAAGCCCCAAAGACCAACCAAACAAGAAAAAAAAAAATTGAAAAAAGAAAAATAAACCAACAGCTTAATCTGTCCAATAAGCATAAACAAAATAAGTGTTGGGCTGTGTCACGGTTCAGGTTCCCTGGCTGTGCAGAGAAAGTGTGGAAGAGTTCCACAGCCTCAGCTGAATTCACCTTTCAGGGTACATGGGAAAACTTAAAGTAATTTAAGGTAACCTGGTGGGGGGAATGGAATGATTTTTTCTAATGCTTTGGCTGCCCTGTCTTTGATGGGCTGGGCAGTGGGACAGCCCCATGAGCCCAGGGTCTCTTTTCCCTCCACAGTGGGCACAGACGAGTCCCAGGAGAGCAGCATGACAGATGCGGATGACACGCAGCTCCACGCCGTGGAAAGCGATGAATTTTAACCTCCAAGAGCCAGTGTCTGAGCTTGAGTGTGTGTGACTGGTACTGTCGTGTTCTCCCCTTCCTTGGCATCCTGGGTTCTACATCTCTGAGCCAGCACTGTCGTTGTTCTCCACTGACACCACGAGTGCACCTCAGACCTGAACTTAGCAGAGTTCATGGCAGTGCGGTATCCAGCTGCTGCTGAGTCTGACTAGTTGGCTCTTACACACTTACAGCAGTGACTGAGGAGAAAATGCTGGTTTTGGACTCCCCCTTGCTGGAAAAAAATATCATGGAAGACAGACTTGTGGTTTGCTGTATGGAAGCCAGTAGATGTGGGGATAGTACTAATGAGGAGGTGTCTTGTTCTTTCTCCAGAAATGTGTCTTAGTTTGGGTCTTTCTTGGTAAGCAGAGTGCTGAACCTCATTTCCAAGTTCTCCAAGGACAGTGTTGACAAACAGGCTGTTCAAGACTTTTGCATATTGTAGTGTACCTTAAATGCCAGGGAGTGTCAATGACCTTAAAGCTGCAGTGTCTCCAGTGAGCAAGCAGGACTGGGCGTGTGTCAGGCCACGTGAAACACCCCTGTCCCTGCCCAGAGTGCAACTGCAGGAGAATTGCATTGCAGGATCAGAGCTTTCATCAAATGCTTTCATGTTCTAACCATGAGTTAATTTATTCACCCGGTTTTGGAAAGGTCAGTGTTTACTTTGTATTTCTGTCAGCACCACCTTGCTTCATTTTTCATGCACCCCTTGACTTGTTCTTCCCCTTTGAAGAATAAAAATTAATAAAGGGAAAAATCAATAGAGAAATGTAGATACAAGTGTAATGTGAAACATCAAACCCTTAATCCTGTGAGAGTGGGAAGACTGGAAGCCTTAATACAATCAGAACCTTAGTCAAATGCATCAAATAATTGTCTCAGATCAATATCTCCAGTCTGGTATCACTTTGAAAACCATTTTGTAAGGTGTGGTCCAAGCAGGATGCAAAAATGTGCAATTATCTGTCTTTTTTCCTTATTTTTTTAAGCTGTTCTTTCAGTTTCCCATTCTAGGAACACTTTCCTTTCCTCCAGGGTCTGTTTCTGAGAGGAGAAAGCTGTGCCACGTTAGTGAGTCCAAACTGCTCTCTGTAGCATTCTGCAGCAGCAATTGGTGCCCTTTGTGCAGTGATGATAAAGAAAGTGTATGATACAAGCAGTTTTAAAGAGCAATTTATGCCTAATAAATTGGGAATGATACAAATTTCATAGCAATGTATTTGTTGTGATCAGTCTTAATTGTTATTTTTGTTGGTTTTTTTTTTAAATCCATTGGTTTTTAGGTGTCTCTTAGTTTCCTTTACACTTCAATTTCTTTTGAATTCTGTCTTGTCTACTTGGCACCTCTTCTGTCCCAGCTTCTCTCTGGTCAAGAGCCACATGGACACCTTTATCTTTTAAAAATCATCCCCAAGTTCTGAGCAAAAACAGAATTCTGTGGTTTGGTGGGGTTTTTCAAAGTAGGAGGATGGGCAGTGAAAAATAGGTTTCAATTCCCCTCACAGGGTGAAAAAACCCTCTAAAATCTGCGTAATCCAAAGAGGTTAAATGGGTTTTGTGCCTCTGCCCTGCATTTTGAGCAGCTGGGTCTGGAGGGCTGATGGATTGAGTGATGGCTGATGGTGGCACATCTGGGCTGGATCGAGGATCTCACACAGATTCCTGGGATTCCAGGGTGCTCTGGGGTGATTCCCCCTTCCTGGAGAGCCTTCCCTGGGGAAGACACAGGGCTCAGGTTTCCCTGGAACGGGTCTGCACCCAGGGCAGAGCTCCCAGGCCCTTCTCCTGAGGTTCCTGGGTCTCCCTCTGTGGTTTTCCAGCTCCAACGCGTCCCTCATGTGGAGGAGTCTGGGCAGCACCTGTGGAATGCCACTAATTACCGTGTTAATTGGGTTCTTTTTGGATCCCAGCATATTTTACAAACAAAAAGCAGGAGGAAGCAGGTGCTACCTTTCCGTAACAAATGTTCATGTGGGGACCAGAGATCCAAGAATCACCGGGGGCTTTTTTCCTTTTCCTTTGTTCCCTGAAAAACCGCAGTAAAACTTTCAACCCCTTGGAAAAAGCTCTTAATTTAGCTGGGATGTTCAAATGATGTTTGTGCTATTTGGAAGATTTAATACATAAAAGCATTCCTGGCTTTATATGTTCATCCTACCTTAAAGGTATTTGCTCTTTTCCCCAAGAATCCAGGGTCACCTTTAGCCCATGCTGCTATTTTATGTTCTGAGGAAAAACACAAAAGTAGTATTGAAGGACTAAAATTTGGCTCTTTGAGGAGGGACAGAGAGGAGGAGGCTGAGCATGGAGGCACTGGCAGGCAGGTGAGTAAGTGTTCACTGAAGAGAGTTAGAGAACTGTCATTTCCTTACAACAAAACTGTGGAAGAATGAAAAGTGTGGGTGTGGTGTTACTATTTGCATTGAAACAATGTAATTTGTCTCTTTTATTCTTGATTTTTCTTTTTTTTTTTTTGGCTTTTCTTGATTTTTTTATTTCAAAAATTGTACAGTCCTAGGGGGAAAAAAGTCTTTTCTGTTAATATATTTGCAATTCATGAAAGGATGTGGAAAATCCAAATAAATTACTTTTAAAAGCAGGCTTAGCCCCAGGTGCTTTGGGTCAGGGGTGGGGTTTGTCCTTCAAGAGTTGGGCAAGTGGCAGAGCTTGGGAAAGGTTTAAGGGCACCTTGGGGTGCACAGGGCTCTTTCCTGTCCTGTGCTGCCCAGGCCTCCCCATGTCACCTGTAAATCTACCTCAGCCTTCCAAGTGGGCTGCAAGGTCCTGGCTGGAGTTCCAGGTGAGGTGGGAGGTGTGGCATGGGTGTGACACTGGGTGTAAGGACTTGGAGCCAGTCCTGACAAGGGCTGGAGCCCCTCTAGAGCCCAGGGGGTGTTCACCTGGAGAGGAGAAGGCTCCAGGGAGAGCTCAGAGCCCCTGCCAGGGCCTGAAGGGGCTCCAGGAGAGCTGCAGAGGGACTGGGACAAGGGATGGAGGAACAGGACACAGGGAATGGCTCCCAGGGCCAGAGGGCAGGGATAGGTGGGATAGTGGAGAGAAATCCTTCCTGGTGAGGCCCTGGCACAGGCTCTTCAGAGAAGTTGTTGCTGCTCATCCTCACTTTCCATCCTGCAACGACGGGATTCAAGAAGCTCTTGAGTATGGAGCAGGTTAGTTTTATTTTCTTTTTTTCCTGTCCTCCATAGCAGGTCCCCACCCTGTGGCTGCAGCTGTTGTTGCTCAGCAGAGGAATTAATTATTACAGTCTTTTACACTTCCAGACCTGGAGAAGAAGCTTCCTGGGAAGGCTTATGGCTGTGCAGGAATTCCTCCTGCTGCATATGGTCATCTTGGATTGAACCTTTTACTGCTGATTATTGCCCACCCTAATCCAGTAATTTTTGGGAGTTGTTTGGCTTTACAAGCAACACTGAGAGGAACCCCTCCTTAGCTGCTTCCCCATTTTCTCCCATGGTTCTGTTACTCCTGGGCACTGGTTCCTGTGTCCTGTAGCTGAGCTCTGGCCCCAGTGTCCACCCCGCAGTGAGAGCCCAGCTCTTGCTCCTGTGCCTCGGCTGGGCTGGGCTCTGCTTGGTGCTGGAGCCAGGCTTTGTTCAGGATAGGCTGAGTTTTAGGTGCCTCCAGAGAAAGACAAAGCAGTGCTGAAATGGGTTTATCCATCGTTCCAGGGCTGAATTGCAGCCCCATGCTGAACAGCAGGGAGTTGTTTAGGAGCACCTACATCTTACTGAGGTTTGCACTCCTCCTGTTGTTCACCACTGACTGTGTTGCTCCAACATCTTATTTTCTGTTCTTCCATCAGAGTCTATGACTTTATCTGACTGAGAGCTGATCCAGGAGCAGGAACTTTTTTATTTTTAAGGAGCACAACTGAGTTTTTCTAAGGCGGGGATCCTAGTGCTTTAAAACTTTATCATCTGCAGAATAAGGTCATAGTCTTGATTTTCCTGGATAACCAAGAAAAACAACCTGGTGGTTTCATGTTCCCTGGGGAAGGAGAGCAAGGACAGTACCTGTGTGGGGACAGTGACTACAGCTGCTGTGTGGGATCAGGATGGCCACCTCTAACAGGGTTTTTGGAGCATCTCAAACATCCTCCCAGTCCTGAAAGGAGCTTAGAAAAAAAGAGGGAGAGTAGTTTAGACAGGCAGCTAGTGACAGAACAAGAAGGGGAAGCACTTTAACCTGAGAGAGATTTAGATTAGATGCTAAGAGAAAATTCTTTACTCAGTTTGGCAAGGCCCTGGCTTAGGCTGCCCCATCCCTGGAATTGTCCGAGGCCAGGCTGGAGCAGTCTGGGATAGTGGAAGGTGTCGCTGCCCATGGCAGGGAGTGGAACAAGAAGGGCTTTGAGTCTCTTCCCACATAAAGCATTTCATGATTCCATGATCCTCTTCCCAGCTCTGCTGTCCCACAGGGAAATGTGACTCTCATTGCCCATCAGTGACAAATGAAGGAGCTCACCTGCATTTTGGCCTGTGGAATAGGAAGTTGAGCCTTCTATTTGAATTAAACCTGGCGTATGACTGGAATAAAAACTAAAAGACAATTTAAGAAAACAAGAGTGGCAGCAGATGAAGAACTCCGTGTCTGTACCCCACAGCAGCGGCCAGGAGAAGCCCTTGGAAGGGTTTTGTGTGTCCAGGAGATGTGACCGGGCTGACCCCAAGGCCAGCAGCGTGCGGCTCAGCGGGGGCCGACAGCTCCTGCAGGCTGCGTTGGGGCTGGAGGGCCACGGGCCCCGCGGGTGGAGCCCGCCGTGGGACAGGGACCCGCGACAGGGCCCAAGGCCAGGCGGGGACACCGGGCCCACTGCCACCCGCGGGGCCGCAGCCCTCGCCCCCCGCGCCGGGGCT